TATATATATATATGATAATAAATGACATAATATCTGAAATGAGAAACGAAAATGGAAATATATATTGCAAATAGTTAATTTGTAGAATGAGAGAAAAGAAAGAGTAAGAATTAGGAGATAATAAATTAAAATTTTTCTGCAATGTAAGATATGCATGTGTGTAAGAAATGGCTGCATAATGATTATTGATCAAGGAAACAAATTAAAGTATGCGAGGAAAATAGTAATATATATAATATATATCAAATTTAATTTTTCATGTATGACCGTATTTCAAAATAGTTCGATCTTATATAATTAAATGTGATTTATACTTTGTATATATTTATATACAATTACTTTATATATAATATATATATGGATGTCTCATTTTATTTTAAATAATCAATATCTGAAAATCACGAAATGTCGTATTTGACTTTGCTAAAATTCATTTATAATCAAAATTCATTTATGATCAAATTTTATATGCTTCCGCATATATTTATATATAATTATATAACACATGGTAATATTTAATAATTTTGTCTCGGGTAATAGGATAGCTCTATACAATTATATCAGTACTATCGAATTTAATGTGTTTTTCAGAAACATGAAACAAGAATTTTAAAATAACATCATTTCCAAGACGATTAATTCCAATCCGAAGATGCATAATGAGAATCGGTAGAGGCTTCCCTCGGAACCGAAAATCAAATTTATTTGCACGAAATTTATTTTCGTATTAATGTACAAATTGCTCAGTATAAAGTAGTCGAATATTTTACATTCCTCTAAAGATAAAATGCACATATGAGTTCACGGATGCATTATTTGCGAAATTTTTGCAGAAATGACAGATTTCAGAAGAATGCTTGTATACGCAAATGATGATTTGTATCTGTCTATTGATCTGATGCATAATGTAAAAAACTCGTCAAGTTCAGAAGTATCAAATTAATTAATCGCACAGGATATGTGATAATTCAATAAGGAAAATAAATTATATTTCACTTGGTGCTCGCAACGCTCATAAATATTATTTATTCTTATTTAACAGTGAACAATAAAAATGGAATGATTTTAAGAGTGTTGCAACATTTAAATGGAAAATACCTTTAGTAATTGTCCATTCCAAGTTATTTAATGTCTCCAATACTTCGCTCTTGTTAATAATTTATGCCTTTGCAGATTAAACATTATTTAAACATCAACATTTGGCTTAATCTTCTGATGCACTTTGAATGTCAAGTTGCGTACAATTTTTTACATATACATATCATAGTAGTCGCTTTAATCTGTGATATGCGACGCACTATTTTTAAATGAAATGAAGATTGAACAAAGTGCAAAGTATGAGAAAGTTGAGTCAGTCAAGAAAATAAGTTGAAAACTAAGTTTCGTTGAAATGTTATTTATATAATATACATATATTCAACGACATATTTTTGTAGGTGCATAATAATTTTTTATTCACATTCCAAATGCAGCTTTCAAATCTATACAAATTTTAATGCAAGAAAAGATTCTTTGTTTTTGCTTTATATATAGAAAAAACAAGGAAAGAATAACAGTGAGATTTATACATTATTACATGAGCGTGTTTATAAATGTTCGAAAACGAGCGTGTATATTATAAATATTGTAGTATTATTTAATATTATGTAATATTATTGATTTGTTTTATTATCATTCAGGTGTTAATAAATCATTAATGGGAATATTTTTTTAAAATTACATGCGTATTTTAATATTTCTTGCAATTGTATTGAATAATACGTATGTACAAAAAGAACAGAATATTTGTTTGTGAAAGTTATGGATCACAATACAAATAATATATTTATATTTATCGCGACCATATGATAATGATAAGTTATGTGAAATTCAAATAGTTATATTGTACGTGAATGCTGCCGATTGTTATTTTTACAGTGTACATACCGCGTAGAAAGTATGTATTGTTTAATCTATCTGCTGATTTTAATCCATCGTAATAGTGAACGCGAAATTGTACATAGATTGTAGGGGGTATTATATAAAAGAATGAACGCCGCATTAATTATTACTAATGTCGGGGTTGTAATTATTATAATTTAGTAATTTAATTAGTTTATATGCAATCCCTCATGTAATTGTGATACATTTCGCGATCATGTACATGTATATGCGCACGTCGTTGTTAATGTATATACTATATTTATTTTTACTGAAGATTATTTTTTAAGAAAGTTAGTCTTAAGATAGTGCCTTCTCTATGGCCTCGCAATCAAAATATTAATATTTGCGTACATATTTGCATTACATATTTCCATTATAGAGAAATCTAAAAATGATCGTAAAATTAAAACAAAAATGTTTTATATACATTAAAAGACAATGTATATTTTATATTTTTTAACTTTTTAACAATTTTCTTCTTTTTTACAATTTTCATATAAAAATAAATAATGTACCATTTTCTTTTATTAATAAATATCTGTCTTTTCAGAATTTGTATCATTACCTTAGTCTTGCTGGGATTTATATATATATATATATCAAACATAATATATAAATTTATTTCGTATAAATTGAAACCTATTTTTATAACTATTATGGAATGAGAGAGCACTTCTTTATCGCATTATGCGTTTCACAAAATCTACATCCGAAAATGCGA